CATGGGAGGTTCTGAGTTGGCCCCAGAGAGGGTGCTCACTGGTCCAGGCTCCCCAGGGCCCTCAGAAAGGAAGATGCTCTTCTAGGAGTGACCTGTTCCTATCAGGAGCCCTGACCATAGGGGGCCTCCCAAGCCCACCAGAGAGGATCAGCCCACCAGCTACCCCCTTCAGTGGGCTCTTGTGTGGAATGGACCCACAGATGACATGGGCCTGGCCCTCCCCTGTCCTGGCTCCACCCACTTCAGGATGTTTCCAAGGGAGTTTATGAGCATCAAACCTGGGGTCACTATGGGGCAGAGCCACACCCCTCCTCTTGCATCCCACCTCCTTTTTCTGCACATCCTCCCCAGGCATCTGTCCCCTTAAGAACTTCCCTTCTCAGTCATCCCCCACCCCATCTCTCCCTCATGCCCTCTGCCCGGCAGAGCGCTGGTCACCCACCCTTTCCCACTATACCCTCCCCAGGCCTCAGCCTTCCAGGCCAGTCTCACCAGCAGTGGCCACCCCCAACCTGACCACCCTTGGCCCTCACCCCCAGGTCCTGTCCTTGGGCGCGGATGTGCTGCCCGAGTACAAGCTGCAGGCGCCGCGCATCCACCGCTGGACCATCCTGCACTACAGCCCCTTCAAGGCCGTGTGGGACTGGCTCATCCTACTGCTAGTCATCTATACAGCCGTCTTCACGCCCTACTCAGCCGCCTTCCTGCTCAGCGACCAGGATGAGTCGCAGCGTGGGGCCTGCAGCTATACCTGCAGTCCCCTCACCGTGGTGGATCTCATCGTGGACATCATGTTCGTCGTGGACATCGTCATCAACTTCCGCACCACCTACGTCGACAACAACGATGAGGTGGTCAGCCACCCCCGCCGCATCGCCGTCCACTACTTCAAGGGCTGGTTCCTTATCGACATGGTGGCCGCCATCCCTTTTGACCTCCTTATCTTCCGCACTGGCTCTGATGAGGTGAGCAGACCCCCTCCAGGCCAGCAGCCATGGCTGTCCTCTGCATACTGGCCTCAAGCCCTCCCTATTGCACAGCACTGAGTGCGGAGAGTACCTGGACCTGGGCACCTGTGCTGGTGGAGAGGAGACCCCAAACATCTGTCACCTCTCAGCCCTGGAGAAGGACCAGCCGAGACTGCACGCCCCAGGCCTCTGCCCCTCTGCCCCCTCTCTGAGCAGACCCTGGTGAGAGAAGCAGGCTAGCCCTTCCAGGATGGGCACTCATGTGGTCCTGACCCCTCATGCTGAATTCCAAACTGCACAGAGCAAATTTACACAATTTGCAGGGCCCAGAGCAAAATAAAAGCATAGGGACCCTTGTTGAAAAAGGATCCCTTTCTTCCTGGAGGAAGAAAGGGATCCCCAGGCCACTCCTCCAGTGCAGCCTTGCTCCCGCCTTACCCCCTAGCCCTCCACTATGGGCTGGAGGTGGGCACCCCCCCCAGGCTGCCAATAGGTGACGTGAAGGCATCTTCATGCCTTTCTCATAGTTTCCAGGCCCACAGTCTCCTCCTGCCCCACTCCTCAGGATCAGCTTTTCACTGAAATCAACTCTGCCTTCTGTGTTCCAGTGCCCCCTCATTACGCCAACCTGTCCAACAGGGGATGTCCAGCAGGTATCCTCTGCTCCAAGCCCCCCTAATACCACCCCTCAGCAAATCTGCCCCCATTGTCCCCACCTGGACACTGAGTGGCGTTTATACTCACTTGTGTCCCAGCACAAAACTTGCCAGCCTCCCGCCCCTCCACACAGCTGCCTCAGCAACTTTCAGATCACTTACCTGACCCTGTGTTCCACCCTCTGGGATGTACAGGGTCCTCAGAATTTTCAGTGGCTCCCCGAGGTCTGCAGAATAAAAACCAAGCTCGTGATAGACTCTGAGGCCCACAGGGAGCAGCCCTTGCCCACCCTGCCCTTCCCAGGCATGGTTCTCACTGCTCCTCCATCTCCCACATGTGTACCAGGCTGCAGTGCCACACTTGGTTTCCCTTGTGGGCCACACACTTCACACCTCAGTGCTGCTGCTCATGCTGCTCCCTGAGCCAGGAGTGCCCTTTCGCTCTCCCTCCTGTCTGCCTGGAGCCCTAGCCTCCTCTCTCAAGGCTCGGCTCATGTGTCACCTCCTCCGTGAAGCCTCCCCGACCTACCCCAGCAGACTTGACCTCCCCTTCCTCTGTGCTCCTACTGGACTTCTGTCCTAACAATCAGAACACTGTTTTGAGCTTTAGGCTGAGATCCTTAAGGTCCCATACCATGCCACACTGTCAAGTGCATGGCCTGGATCAGGTTCTCCATAAATGTTTGTTGAATGACTATGTGGTTGTATGCATGAGAGAACAAAAGCAGGCCTGAGTACACCCTTCCAAGGGCTGACACCCCAGCCCTGTGACCGTTTCCCTGCCCCTCCAGACCACGACCCTGATTGGGCTACTGAAGACAGCACGGCTGCTGCGGCTGGTGCGCGTGGCACGGAAGCTGGACCGCTACTCTGAGTACGGGGCAGCTGTGCTCTTCTTGCTCATGTGTACCTTCGCGCTCATCGCGCACTGGCTGGCCTGCATTTGGTACGCCATTGGCAACGTGGAGCGGCCCTACCTGGAACACAAGATCGGCTGGCTGGACAGCCTGGGTGTGCAGCTTGGCAAGCGCTACAACAGCAGCGACCCAGCCTCAGGCCCCTCGGTGCAGGACAAGTACGTCACAGCCCTCTACTTCACCTTCAGCAGTCTCACCAGCGTGGGCTTTGGCAACGTCTCGCCCAACACCAACTCCGAGAAGGTCTTCTCCATCTGCGTCATGCTCATTGGCTGTGAGTGAGACTTCATGCCATGGCCTAACCTCATACCCTGGCCTTACCTATGAAATAGTATTTGTTAGTTTTGTACTGAGATGGAATATAACACACAGAAATAATTCATGCAGTACACTGATCCTAAGTGTGCAGCACAATGAATTTTTGCTGGTGGGTGCACGAATTGTACACAAAATTTAACACTCACACAGCCTGTACTATCTGCCAGTCACCAGGAAATAATTTGCAGGGCCCAGAGCAAAATAAAAGCATAGGGACCCTTGTTGAAAAATTATTAAGAATCAGCCAGGTGTGGTGGCTCAAGCCTGTAATCTCAGCACTCTGGGAGGCCAAGGTAGATGGACACTTGAGGTCAGGAGTTCGAGAACAGCCTCACCAACATGGTGAAACCCTGTCTCTACTGAAAAATACAAAAATTAGCTGGGTGTGGTGGTGCATACCTGTAATCCCAGCTACTCAGGAGGCTGAGGCAGGAGAATCACTTGAACCTGGGAGGCAGAGATTGCAGTGAGCCAAGATGCTTCCACTGCACTCTAGCTTGGGCAACAGAAACTCCATCTCAAAAAAAAAAATTATTAAGATTTTTTTTGACAGTGACAGCTGACTATTAAACCAAACACAGGGCTCTTAGCATGCAGCCTCGTGTGTCCACACAGGTTGCACACATGAAGCAAGCCCTGCCAGGCACTCTTTTAAACACTTTATAAAATCCCACATCTCATTCCCTTTTGAGCCCAGGGTACAAAGCAAGAAACCACATGGTGCTAACTTGCCAGAGGGCACACAACTAGGAAATGTCCGAGTGACCGATCCCAGCCCAGGTGTTCAGCTCCAAGGCTGTGCGGCTCTCAGTCCCTGCTCCCAGCTGCCTGCCTCCCAAGACACTTGCGTTAGGAACATAAAAGGCAGCGCGGAATTTTACACCTAGATTGAGTTGTCATGTTCAGAGTATTTAGAGATGTGAAAGCTCAGAAAAACAAAAACAAGGGAAGAAAATGGGTGAAAAGAAATTGAGAGTTTGCTCTTTTTTTTTTTTTTTTTTGAGACAGTCTTGTTCTGTCACCCAGGCTGGAGCACAGTGGCACGGTATTGGCTCACTGCAACCTCCACTTTCTGGGTTCAAGTGATTCTCCTGCCTCAGCCTCCCAAGTAGCTGGGATTACAGGCAGGCACCACCATGCCTGGCTAATTTTTATATTTTTTTGGTAGGGACGGGGTTTCACCGTGTTGTCCAGGTTGATCTCAAGCTCCTGACCTCAGGTGATCCACCCACGTCAGCCTCTCAAAGTGCTGACTGAGGCCTGAACCACCACACCCGGCAGAGAGTTTTCTCTTTATTCTATTTCTACAACTTGAAGGAGAAAATAGATCTGAGCTTTAAAAATCCATTGACTGCCTTCTTTCTTCTCAGGAGTTTGACCGCTGGGCCCAGTAAGATGACAAGAGGCACAGGGCAGAGGGGGGAGGGCAGGAAGCACAGGGGCCTTTGTCTCCCCTGTGCCCTGGCGCTGCCCTGTTCACTCTTGACTTCTCCTTAGACAGAGGGGTCCGTCATCAGGGGGCTGCTGGAAAGAGGAAGGCCTGGAGTAGGCCATGGGTGGCTTGGCCCAGTGGGGCTGCGGAGGAGCTCATTTCTCCCCTCGCCCTCAGCCCTGATGTACGCCAGCATCTTCGGGAATGTGTCCGCGATCATCCAGCGCCTGTATTCGGGCACCGCGCGCTACCACACGCAGATGCTGCGGGTCAAGGAGTTCATCCGTTTCCACCAGATCCCCAACCCGCTGCGCCAGCGACTGGAGGAGTACTTCCAGCACGCCTGGTCCTACACCAACGGCATTGACATGAACGCGGTGAGCCCCGCCGCTCCGGCTAATGCCCTAGGGGGAGCCAAGGTCCCGCGGGGGCGGGGCATCCCCAGAGCCCTCCCCACCCTCTCCTCAAGCCCTACTCAGGCCGCGCCCCGCTGGACTGGGCCACCCGCCTTCCAGGTGCTGAAGGGCTTCCCCGAGTGCCTGCAGGCCGACATTTGCCTGCACTTGCACCGCGCGCTGCTGCAGCACTGCCCGGCGTTCAGCGGTGCCAGCAAGGGCTGCCTGCGCGCCCTAGCCGTCAAGTTCAAGACCACGCACGCGCCACCTGGGGACACGCTGGTGCACCTCGGCGACGTGCTCTCCACGCTCTACTTCATCTCCCGAGGCTCCATCGAGATCCTGCGCGACGACGTGGTCGTGGCCATCCTAGGTAGGTCAGGCGGAGTGGACCAGGCCTGTGTTGGGGATCGGATGGAAGGGGGCAGGATGGGAGATGCCCTGCCTGGGCCACCCTCTTCCTGATGCGGATTTTACTTTTACTGGCCAGCCACATGCAGAGCTTGTGCCTGGGAGAGCTTTATACCCAGCTCCCTGAATCCTTAAAACAACCCTCTGCCAGAGGTCCCATGTTCCTGAGAGGGAAGTTGAGGCTGAGGGAGATCATGCTAGTCTGTGGCCAGGCAGGGATTCCAGGGCTGCCAGTGTGACTCAGAAGCCCAGGCAGGCCTTCCTACCTTCTTCCACTCTTGGGGAGTTCAGGGAGAAAGGCCAAGGGTCTCTCTGGGTGGAGGGAGATGCCATGGCTGGGGACCCCAGTCTCATTCAGTGCAGACACAGGGATAGCCAGACACTTTGGAGGAAGGATATGAGCACTGGGCAGGGGGACAGACAGGTCACAAGCAGCCGCTGCCATGTGCCTGCTGTGTGACCTTAGGCAAGTCACTTAACCTCTCTGAGCATCACAGGGTCCTCTCCTTGATTCTCATCTTCCTTGCCTGCCCCATGACTTCATCTCCACCCCAACTTCAGCCTTGCCCTCCTTTGGTCCCCATGACCTGGCTATCCTCCAGCCCCTCTGGACAGACTCCCCTCGGGCTCCCCTGCCCCTCCTCTTCCTCTGGCCTGCTGGTGCTCTGCTCTCCTCTCCCCTCCTACCCGACACCCTCCCATGGGCCTGCTCCTTGTACCCACGGCCTCAGTCTTCCCCTTGCCACAAGGATCCCCAGAGCTCTGTCCTGGCCCCACTCTCTTCTTAGACCACAACATTCCAGTTTTCTAGGCATGGCCACCCTAGTATTCTATAAGCAGATCAAACTCAGTGTATCCCAATCTGAAATAATCACCTTTCCTCAAAACCAGCTCCGTCAGCTTCCCCATCCTGTGACCTATCTGCCCATTTCCCATGCCACAGTCAGCCAAGGGGTTATCCTATTTTGTTGCTGCCCACTGCCCACCAGCCAAAATCGTCCATACCTCTCCATCTCACACCTGTCTCCCTGTCCCTGCCTGGATCCAGCCTTCCTTGTGTCCTTCCTGGAAAGGTGTTGGCAACTCCTTTCCCATGGCCCTGCATCTGGTCTACTCCCATGCTCATCTTCCACCTTCTGCCAGTGACCTGAAATAGACCTCTGTCTGTTTGCCTCTTCTGCTCAAGATCCCTCCGTGGTTCCCCATGGTCCATGCATGCGTGCTCAGTTCTCCCAATCCCACCACCCTGTCCTGCCACCCTCCCCCTGTTACTTTACGTTCCAGCCAAACTACTTAGCATTCTCTAAATCTGTGCCCTCGCACATGCTGCCACTCTGCCTGGAGCACCCTACCCTGTGCCATCTGGCAGATCCCAGTTGTCCTCCAAGACTGGGCTCAGTTATAGGTTTCTGCTGAGACCTCTCACTCCCAGCCTACCTTAGAAGTGCTGTCCATGTGGGAGGGATGATAATTATTACAAATAATTAAGAAGTCAGTCCAATTTAAGTTTCAGTTAAAGACATGAAACCTCTCATTTTGTCCTGAGTGGAAATAGACATTAGATCAGAATCCTTCATCTACTGGAAAACCATCAAGTTATAATGTTGCCCAGATTTCAAGCTTAAGGGTTTCACGTGTGACCCTGGCAAGCCCCTTCCCTCTCCAGGGTCAGCCCCCTCCTCTGTGAACGCCCTTTGATCCTGTTCTCTTGCAGGGACATGACCAGGCCTCCATCCATCCCTCTGTGCTAAACTGTTAGTGCTGCTTGCACAGTGTCACCAGGCTAAGGATGCTGGACTTTCCTGGGGGAGTAGGAATCAAAGCAGTCATGCTCTGTGGCAACCCAGCCCTGGGCTCTCCACCCCTGAGTCCTGACAGTGCAGTGCTGACCACATGCTGTTTCTTCTGCCCTGATTGCCTTTCTCCTGGGGACAGTCTTTGTTTCTCTCAATACAGCCCCCATTTCACTTCCTCTGCAAGGCCCCTCCTTTCTGCCCCAGCCATCCCTACCAGGAAGAGCCCCTCCCTCCTCCATGGCCCCATAGCTTTTGATTTTCCCTGTTTCTAGGGCTCCAAAGATCATGCTGTAAACTTGTTGGCTGCTTATGTACCTATCTTGCAGGGATTTGAGGGGCTCTTTGTGGGTGGCATAACATCTTATATTTATACTTATATTTATATTCCTTGGCCAGCACAGCACCCGGCACCAGGAGGGCCCAATAACCTTGCCACATACCTGAATATCACCCATGTCAACCCTGGGATATCCTTCCCCCTTGCCTTGCATGGACCTAGTCAGTTGCCTCTTGTTGTGTTTTTTTTGTTTTTTTAATGGAATCTCACTCTGTCACCCAGGCTGGAGAGCAGTGGCATCATCTCAGCTCCCTGCAATCTCCGCCTCCTGGGCTCAAGTGATTCTCCTGCCTCAGCCTTCTGAGTAGCTGGGATTACAGGCCACCATACCTGCCTAATTTTTGTTTTCGTTAGCTTTTTTTAGTGGAGATGGGATTTGACCAGTTGGCCAGGCTGGTCTCAAGCTCCTGACCTCAAATAATCTGCCTGCCTCTGTCCCCCAAAGTGCTGGGGTTATAGGCATGAGCCACTGTGCCTGGCTGCCTCTTGCTTTTTGAGTCACTGGCTCAAGCATCACCTCATCTGCTTCCCTGAACAGCCCAGTGGGGCTGGCAAGGCAGATCAGGTTTTACGCATGTTAGAGACGAAGACTCTGAGATCCAGACAGGAGTAACTTCTCCAGGCTTCCTCCACCAGGGCCATGTTGATTACCTGGCCCCATAATCAGGAGTGGGAAGACAAAGAGAAGCCTCTGGCCCTGCCCTGGGGAGTTAGGTCCTCTGGCCCTGGGTTTCCTGAACCCTGCTCCACAGCACTGCAGGCCAAGCAGCAGGAAGATGTTGAGACAGATATTGAGCCTTTAGGGCCTCTTCCTGCCCACTGTGCCGAAGAGTGTGGGCTACAGGAGGCAGATTCTGATGGAGGGTGGTTCTGAAAAGCCTGGAGACAGTGAGAGGAGCCACGGGCTGGGGGTGAGAGTCGCTCTTAATGGATTTCTGTGCAGCTCAGAGATCTCAGATATGGGAAGAGAACCCCTCACCCCACCCCTGCCAACCCACATCCAGCCCTGTCCCCAGAGCTCACTTCTGGGCAGCAGGCCCCAGCCTAGAAGGATGTCCAAGGTTGGGGGAGGTCATGGTCAAAGGACCCTCATAAGGGAGCATGGAGCCAGACCCTGAAGAGACTCCCACCCCTCTGGCTGGCAGGGAAGAATGACATCTTTGGGGAGCCTGTCAGCCTCCATGCCCGGCCAGGCAAGTCCAGTGCAGACGTGCGGGCTCTGACCTACTGCGACCTGCACAAGATCCAGCGGGCAGACCTGCTGGAGGTGCTGGACATGTACCCGGCCTTTGCGGACAGCTTCTGGAGTAAGCTGGAGGTCACCTTCAACCTGCGGGAAGTGAGTCAGGGCCAGGTGGGCCAGGGTGGGTGGTGGCTTTTGGCCGGCTGGTAACAGGAAATGCCCAGGCAGCCTACTGAGGGCTTGGCCTGCCTGGCCTGAGGGCACCCATCTGACCAATCCCATTCTGCAACCTTTGCCAGAATTTCTTCTGTGCCTACCATGGCTGACATAATGCTAAGTATGAGGATAGCTAATATTTATTAAGCACCGACTATACTAAGGGTGGGGCTTCTTTTACATGATCTCCTTGCAATTGCTATTATTATCCCCATTTTCCAGATGAGGAAACTGAGGATCAGAGAGAGTAAATAAACTGGCTAAAGCCATTCAGCTAGTAAACGGCAGAGCCAAAATGTGAATTTAATTTGTCAGACTCCAAAGCCCAGGTGTTTCCACCATATTATACCATGCTGAAAAGGATGGTGCCGGCTGTCCAGATGGCTCACAGTACCAAGCACAGGTACTGCCAAGAGGTGACAAAACTGTCTCTCTTCTCACACTCATCCCTCAGTAGAGGAGATTTTGACAACTCAAAAAAAAATAAAGAGCCACAAAGCAAAATAGCCAAAGTCTCAAGGGTATCAAGGAGAAGCATGTGGAGATCAAACTTGCCAAGGAGTGTGACAACCAGGACCAACCCTGGGAATGCCCAGAGCGGGGTATCAGGGAGGAGGGATCTGGAACCAGAAGAGGGGAAGAAGGGAAGGTGCACCTGGCCATGAAACACAGAGTCCAGGCTGTTTCTCCCATGTCGCCCCTACCCATCTGCCTCAGGAGAAGGCTCTGCTGGCCTGGGCCCTGTGCCCAGCTTCCTGAGCATGGAGCTGGGTGGGCTTTCTTTTTTTTTTTTTAGACGGATTCTTACTCTGTCGCAAAGCAGGAGTGCAGTGGTACAATGTCAGCTCACTGCATTCTCCACCTCCCAGGTTCAAGTGATTCTCTTGCCTCAGCCTCCTGAGTAGCTGGGACTACAGCTAATTTTTGTATTTTTAGTAGAGATGGGGGTTTCACCATGTTGGCCAGGATAGTCTCGATCTCTTGACCTCGTGATCTGCCTGCCTCAGCCTCCCAAAGTGCTTGGATTCCAGGTGTGAGCCACTGTACCCGGTCTGGGTGGGCTTTCTTGCTGTGGACAGCCCTCCCCACACCATCCCATCTGCTGCTCTTCCCTTCCCCAATTTCTCCCCACCAACATCTGCACAGGAGACACCTGGTAAGGACCCTGCCTTGGGGGCCCAGCCATCAGGCGGCCAGAATGCCCAGCAGCTGGGCACCAGGGCAGGAGGAGTGTGGTCTCTGCAGCCTGGGCCATCTGCAGGAAGCCACCCAGGGCATTGCTGCTGTGCCCAGCTGCCTGTTACTCTTTCACCTAGTTGTGACAGCGCCGTGGGGTGAGGGCAGGGAAGAATAGAGGCCCCACCCCAGCTTTGGTTCCTGTTCCTCCATCCTCTTGTTTCCCACAAGGCAGCTGGGGGTCTCCATTCATCCCCGCAACAGGCTCCAGGCAGCCAAGACCACCAAGGTTTCTTCCTCAAAGACAACCAGTCAGGTGAACAAAGCCAGTCCCCACCAGTGTCTGCCCAGCCCCAGCCCGCAGCCCCTGCCTAGCCTCCTTCCCCTCCCATGTCCACTCCATCCTGCATCCCCAGTGCCACCCCCGACATGGGTAGAGGGGGGTTCCCTCTCTAGACCCAGAGCCAGAACCTCGGCCCTGCTTCCTCCCCAGTCTCCCAGCCCTGATGGCCTATGTCCTCAGAGGCAGAGTGAGGGCTCTGTGGTTCAAATGTAGCTCCCAGGGGTGTACGGAGACTAGCCAGCCCCCGAGGTTCCACACTAAGGCATTAGGGGTCCACTGGGCTGCAGATCCCTGGGCAGTCAGAGCATCGCTAAAAGTCCTCACCCTGCCAGAGTTTCCCCATGAGCTGGGGCCCCAGCTCCCCTCCCAGGGCTACAGCCTCCTGGGTCCTGGGAGCCAGAACTCCATGGGGCATCCAGGTAAGGAGGGCCACTCCCCACACCCTGTGTCCCCAAGGCAGGTAAGGGGTGGGAGATGGGCTCTACTGAGAAGGGTCAGGCTTATGGAACCAGCTAGGCCCAGCTGAGACTTCCCTTTCCCTCTTGCAGATGCAGCCCCTCCCCTGAGCATCTCAGATGCATCTGCCTTCTGGCCTGAGCTGTTGCAGCAAATGCCCCCAAGGCGTAGCACGCCAGGCCCTCAGGGAGACCCACAGTGCTGGCCTCCGAAGCTGGGCTCCAGGCTAGAGCAGCTCCAGGCCCAGATGAACAGGTGAGTGTGCTGTGGCCAGGTCTGAGGGCTGGGTATTGGTGCCCCCTCCTGGTGGCTCAGAGGCATCATGGGGTGTCAGCTGGGTTTTAGAATGGCAAGCCATTTAGCTGCAAGTCTCCCCATACCTGTCACTAAGCACTATTGCCCAGATGACGTCCCCTAGCAAACTCTGGAACGTGCCAAGGAAGCTTCTCAGGGGAGGCGCACAACTATGGGCAGAAACAAATTCCATAGGTCCTGGGAAATGGGGTGTGTCCAGTGGATGGTAGGGCTGTGGTGGCAGAGTGAGGGCTTAAAAGCAGAACTGTCTAGGTTCAAATTCTGGCTCTGTGCCCTACCAGCAAGAGTGTGGGCAAGTTACTGAACAGCTCTGAACCTAGTTTGCCCTTTTGTGAAATGGGGATAATTCAAACATCCACATCAAAGCATCTTGGGTACTGAATGCTGTGTGCTTGGTGCCTGGTCACTGGTGTTAGACTCAGGGGGAATCTGGGCAGGGGCTGTGGATCCCAACAGGATAATAGCTTCAGGTCAGCCTCAGGCCGCCATTCCATCTAGCAGGAACAGCACACAGGCTACAAGATTGACAGCTGCCCTCAGGACCGAAACTGCTCTTGCCAGCCCCAAACCTGACTGTGGGGTTCTCTCTGGCAGGCTGGAGTCCTGCATGTCTTCAGACCTCAGCCGCATCTTACAGCTCCTCCAGCAGCCCATGCCCCAGGGCCATGTCAGCTACATTCTGGAAGCCCCTGCCTCCAATGACCTGGCCTTGTTTCCTATCGCCTCAGAGACTCAGAGTCCAGGGCACAGGCTGCCCCAGGGATTTCTGCCTTCTGCACAGGTAAGAGGTGAAGGGATTCCCAGAGGCTTACCTGGAAGCAGCTGCATGCCTTCCCTGACTTAGTCAAAGTATGGCATCAGTCCCAGAGCCTTCGTGGCCCCAGGGCAACCAGGGCTTTGCTTACCTCCTTTATGATCAGCATCATGATAGGGCGGCCTGGGCAAGGTGGTGGCAAAGCCCAGAATGTGACTACAGAGCCTGCAGCTGGGGCCAGGGCAGCAGGACCCTGAAGTGTGGGAAGGGCAGGTAAAATTCTTGCCTGATCCTATCCCTGAAGTCAGGGTGGATTAACCTGCAGCCTGGCCTGGGGTGCATCCCTCTTTCTTGCTCTTCCCAGACCCTGAGCTGTGGAGACTTGGACGACTGTAGTCCACAGCACAAGAACTCCTTCCCCGGGATGCCTCACCTGGCTGTGGCAACAGACAAAAGTCTGGCACTATCCTCTGGACAGGAACAGCCTGAGGGGCTCTGGCCACCCCTGGCCTCACCTCTGCATCCCCTGGAAGTACAGGGACTCATCCGTGGTCCCTGCTTCTCCTCCCTTCCTGAACAGCTTGGCTCTGTTCCCAAGCAGCTGGAGTTCCAGAGACATGGTTCAGATCCTGGATTTGCAGGGAGTTGGGGCCACTGACCTCCAAAATAAAGACACCATAAGGGTATTGAAGGTGGGCAAAGTGATAATTAAGGATCTTGGGGAGGCAGACAGCCTCCCAGATGGGCTTCTCCTAGAGTAGCTACAACTGCTGATCCAGGTGACCAGGATGGCATGGGTGAAGAGGCTCAGGACTTTTCCCAGCCTCCTCTGTGGCTTCATTTAGGCAGCAAGCCTGGTGGAGGGTGGGAGAGTCTCAGTGTGGAGGCAGCTTACAGGATGGAGAGGGCAGTGAAGAAAGAGGTTTCTGATCTACATGAGTACCTTGCTCTGGGCTGCATGTGATCACCTCCCAGCTCAAAACCCTCCACCACCTCATGGCCCAGCACCAAGGCCCGGGGTTGGTCAGAACTCTTACCATGGAGCCTCCAACCTGGCTGAAGATGGAATCTGTGGTAGACATGTTAGGACAGACCTCCAGCCCTCTGCTCCTGATGGTTCTGTGACATTGGGTCTCCTGAGGGCAGTGGAGTGTCACACAGCTAATAAAGTGCACATTTCATGTTGAGACGGGTGTGTAACTTATCTGAAGGCCCTCAGGTCTTTGGCTGTGCGGTGGCTTTCTCCAAACCCTTCATGTAAGGAGCTGGAGACCTACCTTCCACCATATCCAGTATGTTGGGGACCTGAAGGTGGCTCTGCTGGGCCCAGAAGCTCCTGGAGCCTGGGGCTGTTAGGCCATGGTGAAGGGAAGCAGAGGCACTGGCTTAGTGGCCCCAATGGATCATGACAACAGCCAGCACTTCAGTAGCACTCACCCTGGACCAGGCACTGTGCTGACAGCTCTGCAGATACTTGTTCATCTAATCCTCAAAACAACCCCAAGGGGTTGGCATTATTATCTTCATTTTAGAGATGCGGGATCAGTAGCAGAGACACTAAGATAACTTACCCAAGCATGAGGGGGTATTCTGAGGTGCAGGTACTGTTCTGTTTCCTGATCTATGTGCTGGTTACAGGAGTGTGTTCAGGTTGTGAAAGAGTGTGCTTCTGTGTAAATTATAACTCAATTAAAAAAAAAAAAAAGTCAGACATAGTGGCTTATGCTATAATCCCAGGGCTTTGGGAGGAGGCTGATACAGGAGAACTGCTTGAGGCCAGGAGTTCAAGGTTATAGTAAACCGTGATTGCATCACTGCTCTCATAGCCTGGGCAACTGAATAAGATGCTGTCTCAAAATAAAAATTTTTAAAAATCATGCCCATACCTAACGCAACAGGAAAGGAGGACATAATTTCAACCCAGATAGTCTGGCTTTGAGAGCATGTACAATTAACCACTGCCGAAAAGGGCTGCTGTCCAAAAACTACTTGGTTATTGGTTTTCAGTCCTTTGCTCCTGTACTCTGGAAAATAATTTCAAAAATGTATATCCCCCTCACACCTTTTTAAGTTGACATCTGAAATATTATAAAATACTTCACTGATAAATTTAAATAGATGCAAAGGATGTAATGTCAACTGTCTCTTAAATACTGACACTTTATAAAACGATTCCATCCTTCATTTGTATTGACCCATTTCTATCCAAATAGCAGTGATTTGAGAGCCACCACCATCCATTTTAAAAACACAAGAGGCTTTTCTTTAATATCGTTCTTTTTTCTCTCCTGATAACTCCCACTTATTCCTCCCATAGTTTTATCCTACGTGTAATTTATTGCTATGCTTCAAAGCCTGCTATTGATCAGCCTATCATATGTTTGCCACACAAATATGTATACAAGCTGGGTGCAGTGGCTCCCTCATGCCTGTGATCCCTACACTTTGAGAGGCTGAGGCTGGAGGATTGCTTAAGGCCAGGAACTCAAGACCAGCCTAGGCAGCATAGTGCAACCTGGTCTCTACAAAAAAA